TATAGACCTAAACATTTTAACTTACTAATGTTATTGGAATGCGTGGCCTAATGGTTAGCGCACCTGCCTTTCAAACCAAGGGTTTTGAGTTCGATCCCTGCTAGAGGAGCAATTTTTTTTTTTTTTTTTTTTTTTTTTTTTTTTTTTTTTTTTTTAAAAATAGACTTTTACGAAAACATCGAAAAATGTTTAATGACTAGTAATTTGTCTAAGAGCAATGATTTCTCTTTTGTTTTATTAAGGTCTTCCGTCTTCAGCGGAAGACCTTCTTGTTTTTCTTAGGTTTCTTTTCCACTATTTTTTGTTATTATTAAGGTCTTCCGTCTTCAGCGGAAGACCTTCTTGTTTTTCTTTGGTTTCTTTTCCACTATTTTTTGTTATTATTATTATTGTTTTTTTTCTTACCGATTTTGTGCACGCGAGTTCTCGGAAACGGCTCGCTCGATTTTCATGAAACTTACAGGTCTGATAGAAGATTAAAAAATCTAGATGTATATTTTTTTGTTTTGATGACGTCACTTCCGGTTCCGAGCTTTCCGCGATTTAGTGATTTTCGGAGGGTCACTTTGTCCGGCAGTTTCCCCAAAAGGGCTTCCTGGTAGAAGCATGAAATTTTTCAGCGATGATAGAGCATTATGTGTAGATGTGACATACGCATTTCTTTTTCCCCGAAAGTGCCGTACTTCGTCGTTCGCTATGGCCCGAAAAAAGTCCTATCGGGATTTTTAAAATTTCTAACACTTTTTCTACAATATCTTTTTACCTGTAAATATTTTGTTAAAACATATAGAGCAAAAGTTGTGTAGAATGATACGATCTTTCAAAAGATACCAACAATAAGGGGCTGGCCCCTAAAATCAGGGAGCTAGAGGGGCCAAAAGTGTTTTCCTGATAACTCAAAAAGTATTGAGAATTTGTATAGCATCATAGAAGCAAAGTTGTTCAAAACGACAAGTAGCAGCTAAGGAGATCATCAAAAGTCGTCAAAATGACGTCACTTCCGGTCACACCGGAAGTAATGGTAAATGGCTCATTCTTGCTCATATGACCGTAGATGTCTCCCGAACTCGATCTCATCTCCTTAAAATTTAGACGGAAGACTTATTTGTTGCTTTGCAACAAGCTCGTCTAGTTATTATTATTATTCTTTTTTCTTCTTATTTCTTCTCCGGTACTTTTTTGTCCGCGAGTGTTCTCGGAAACTGCTCATCCAATTGAGTTAAAACCTTTTTAGGGTTAATAGGCATGTTATGTAGATTTGCGGAACAAAGGTCATTTTGCGCGCACGTGCATGCACGTCAAAACGACAAGTAGCAGCTAAGGAGATCATCAAAAGTCGTCAAAATGACGTCACTTCCGGTCACACCGGAAGTAATGGTAAATGGCTCATTCTTGCTCATATGACTGTAGATGTCTCCCGAACTCGATCTCATCTCCTTAAAATTTAGACGGAAGACTTATTTGTTGCTTTGCAACAAGCTCGTCTAGTTAAGGTCTTCCGTCTTCACGGAAGACCTTATAGTGATTCTACTGTTTCTTATTATTATTATTATTATTATTATTATTATTATTCTTTTTTTTGACAAAATTTTGTGCACGCGATTTCTCGAAAAGTATTCAGTCGTTTTCAATGAAACTTTCAGGAAAAATCAGTCATTGTATGAACTTTGTTCATCACAAGGAAAATTTGGAAAATTCCATTTTGGTTCCAAGTTACGGGCAATTTCCTGATTTTAAAATGAAATTTTGTCGCCCCTTTTTCTCAAGAATGGCTAATGATATGAACTGGAGACTTATTGGAGAGCATAGAACGTGACTTCTAAATTTGCAGAATCGCATTTTCGTTCGTCGTCGGCACTTCCGGTCGATTACGGAAGTGATCAAAGAAATCGTAAAATTTCAACTTTCTTTTTTTAAGTCAATACTTACATCACATTATTGCATCTCTTTTGTAGTTTCGAAATATGTTGGTTCCACCGGAAACAAAAACGTCAGCTTCCGGTTATAAGAGAAAAACTACATAATTTGAGTATTTTTCTTTCCCATTAATATCCTTTGTAGATAAAGTATTTGAAATGAATTTTAAATATGTTATTTAGACTGCATATATCTAGAGTAACGTCAAATATCTTTGTAAAATTCACTTCCGGTCACGTGTTTTCCTGTCTTCAAAATGAGAAGTTGTCTGAGCAAGATCTCGGAAACGGTGAGAGATTAAGACACCAAAGTTATATGGGCAACAGACCTTAAGATGTAGGCAAAACCATTTGGGTTCAGAGCGTCAGCCGTCACTTCCGGTCGTAACAGGAAGTGATCAAAGAAATCGAAAATTTCAACTTTTCTTTTTTTAATTAAAAATTGCATCACTTTATTGCATCTTTTTCTCAGATTCGAAAGATGTTGGTCCCACCGGAAATAAAAACGACAACTTCCGGTTATAAGAGAAAAACTACATAATTTGAATATTTTTCTTTCCCATCAATATCCTTTGTAGATAAAGTATTTGAAATGAATTTTAAATATGTTATTTAGACTGCAAATATCTAGAGTAACATCAAATATCTTTGTAAAATTCACTTCCGGTCGCGTGTTTTCCTGTCCTCAAAATGAGAAGTTGTCTGAGCAAGATCTCGGAAACGGTGAGAGATTAAGACACCAAACTTATTTGAACAACAGACCTTAAGATGAAGGCAAAACCATTTGGGTTAAGAGCGTCAGCCGTCACTTCCGGTCGTAACAGGAAGTGATCAAAGAAATAGAAAATTTCAACTTTTCTTTTTTTAATTAAAAATTGCATCACTTTATTGCATCTTTTTCTCAGATTCGAAAGATGTTGGTCCCACCGGAAATAAAAACGTCAACTTCTGGTTTTAGGAGATAAACTACGTTATTTTGATATTTAACATTCTCATAAATATTGCTTATCGATAAAGTACTTGAAATAATTTTATGTATGTTGAAGATACTGCAAATGTCTAGAGAAAAGTCAGAGATTTTATAAAATTCACTTTCGGTCGCGTGTTTACCTGTCCTCAAAATTAGAATTTGTTCTAACAATATTGCTCGGCCACAATAAAGGACTGAAGTCTAAAACTTTCAGGACTGATAGTCAGTCATCAGTTTATTTGAATCGTGAGAAAATCTTCTATCGCCGTTACTTCCGATCGTGACAGGAAGTGATGCAAAAAGGTGAATGGTTAATGGTTAGCACGTTGGATTTTCACGCTGACGACCAGGGTTAAATCTCCAGGATGTCTGAATTTCTTTTATCACTTTTTAAGCTTGAATTTTCGTTTTTATTTTCAGAATTGGACGGAAGACCTCTCATTGCTCGCAATGAGTTTCTAGTTATTATTATTATTCTTTTTTCTTCTTATTTCTTCTCCGGTACTTTTTTGTCCGCAAGTGTTCTCGGAAACTGCTCATCCAATTGAGTTAAAACCTTTTTAGGGTTAATAGGCATGTTATGTAGATTTGCGGAACAAAGGTCATTTTGCGCGCACGTGCGTGCGCGTGCAATGGGTAAAATGACCAATATACTTGATATAGCTGTAATTTTTATATTTTTTGGTGAAATGCTTTGATACTCAGAATATAAGGATATATTAAAAGTGTGAACAAGATGACATGGTCAACATGCACATGCATGCGCGTGCGTGCACGCGCAAAAGCGTAAAATGACCAATTTACTTGATAATATCGTAACTTTTATACTTTTTGATGAAATGCTTTGATACTCAAAACATTTATATATATAGAAAGAGTAGACAAGATGACATGGTCAACATGCACATGCATGCACGTGCGCGCGCATGCAATGTGTTAAATGACTAATATAATTAATATAGCCGTAATTTTTATATTTTTTGATGAAAAGCTTTGATATTAAGAACATATAGATATATTAAAAGTGTAGACAAGATGATTTGGCCATCATGCACATGCATGCACATGCGCGCGCAAGCAATGTGTTAAATGACCAATATACTTAATATAGCTGTAACTTTTATATTTTTTGATGAAAAGCTTTGATACTATGAATTAACAGACATATTATAATTGTACACAAAATGGCATGGTCATTATGAACATGCATGCATGTGCCATGCGCGCAATGCTAAGATGACCAATATGCTTGATTTAGCCGGAACTTATATATTTTTTGATGAAATGTTTTGATACTGAGAATATAAAGATGCATATATAGTATAGACGGGATGACATGGTCATCCTGCACATGCATGCACGTGCGCGCGCGTGAAATGCAAAAAATGACCAATATACTTCATTGCCTTATTTAATGAAGCTTACAGGAAAAAAGTCACCAAAAGGGAGTTGGGGAGCGTTTGGGGAACATCTGTAACGGTCCCCGTTACAATTATAAGTAGTTTATGATAAGTTTGCTCCTTAAATGATATAACACTAAACTACCAATTCCAACAAAAACTTCTTAAATGATAGAACACTAAACTACCAATTCCAACAAAAAATATAGCTAAATAATGATATACTTCATAAGAAGAAAAAAATCATCGCAGATTTCTTTTTCATTGTGACGTCATAATCCAATGTGCACAAGAAAGCTGTCCAAATCATACAAATTGCGTATACAGTTTTAACGACGTCAGCAAACCCGCGACCTACGTTAAGTCATTTTTGATCAATGATTTACGTAGGAATATATAAGGAAAAAAAAATGTGCTGAAGATGAAGAACAGCAGGGCCAGAGTGACTCAGGTCAGCATTGTGGCCAATGGGCCTTTTGTTTAATGATGGATGTGTGGGTTAAAAGTGATGTTCAGTAATAGTCAAAATAAGATGAAGGTGTGTGGAAGACCCTTAACTCAGCACTGTAATAGAAAATCTTTGTACTAACTTTCCAAATTTATAAATTACACTGTAGGATTCTATGCATTTATTTTGTGTAATTTATACTCCCCAAAATTTCTTTGGTGGATGAAATTTGAATGAATGATAATCCTGTTATCTTTATGTTTCAGCCACTGTAACAACTGCGGCTCCAGCTATAAGGCAGCAGACATTTATATTCACCCTCACATACAGAATGAATTTGGATTGCAATGTTCCAGCTGCTTTAAATGCAGCATTGGCAAACATAAGGGTTCGGATAATACAGAGGCTCATTGCATTAGCCTCCCGTTTTGCAAATCTTTGCAGGAAAGCAAATGTCAATGAGTGCTTTGTATCTCTAAGAGTACAACTTAATCAGTGCGGGGGAGCAAGAAGGAAAAAGAGAGCTGCAGAACCCTCAGATCTAGATGTTAAAGTGGATATTCCAGATGTCAGGTGGGTATTGCCAGGAAATCTTTATTTCACATAGTACATTCAAAGAAATATTATATGCTGTGTAGTGATAACATAGTAGATGTATGTATTTCACAAATGTTTTTAATGATACCCTTGAATGAGATGACAGAATTGATTTAGCATTATGATAAACAATTAATCATCTGTGTTTTGCTCAATTGTTTCCTTGTCACCAGCTCAACTGTAACAGATAATGAAGAGCCTTCAAAAGTTCTGCAAACAGAAACCATGCTTAAAGAGGATTTAGACACTAACAAACCAGAATATCAACCTGAGGTAAAAAGAAGTGTTTCCATTTGACATTTTGATGCTAAATCTTAAGAAAATACAAATACATCTTCCAGTAACTTAGAAGTCAAGGAAATATTTCCTCTTGCAACAAGAAGGCCCACCATCTGATTTGATGATAGATGATGCACAACAGAAATTAAGTGTAACTAAACAAAATATCATAAAAATCTCTCAATAAAAACAAGATGGTACCTTGTTTAACATGGTTGAATTGTTCAATCCATGGCTCTCTGGGCAGTGATGGGGCTACAAAGGGAGTCCAAAGTTTAAAGGACTTGTCCCATGTTTCTCAATTACTTAAAAGTGTATTATGTTCTTCATGATCATATTTTATCAATTTTGGTGTTTTTATTGCAGAAATACCATGGTAATTAAACATCATTGATTAAAATAAAAACCCCTCAGTTAAAAATCCAATGTAACGCTAGCGGTTCTGCTAGAAATTATTTTCATGGAATTAATAATTCGCTCAACTCCTTTAATAAATGTACCATTCGCAAAGAAGACATAAGATTATAAACATTAAACAATTAAATTTATTAAGTGCATTATCAACAAACAATTTATTTAAACGACGACATTCACACCACATTCATACCAAGCTAATTATAATAAATGTTTAGTTAAAATAAATAATTAGAATCGTACAATAAAACAGACTGAAAAACCACCCCCAAAATCTAACGTATCTATTCCTATGCGTATAAAAATATGTGACAACAAGTCGTAGTTATTTATAACTTTGACTTGTAAAACTTAACACCAAGCTTTACTGTATTTAACAGGTTAGCTTGTTAAACTCCTAAAATACTTTATTAAATAAGGACACAAGTCGTGGTTATTTATAACTTTGACTTGTTAAACCTAACACAAGCATTACTGTATTTAACAGGTTAGCTTGTAAACACTAAGGGCGAAGAAAGATAACTCTAATTATCATAAGTAAGTTTATCGAGAAGCAACGTTTAAAAATTCCCAAGTACAGGTAACTCTTGATGGCTCGAACTTCGATCTCTCAAAGTTCTTGATCGCTCGAAGTGAGTCTCCGGTCCCGAATTTTTCCACTATATAACTAAGCAAATTTACTCTTGATTTCTCGAACTCTTGATCTCTCGAAACCCTTGATCCCTCGAAGTCAAAATGCAGTCCCGCTATGCATATTCTATAAGAATTTACCCTCGATACCTCGAAGTGGCTATGTGTATACAAGATTATATAATTAGCACCTTTACCTGGACATTTAAATGGCCTCAGGCAGAAGACGCAGGTCTCGAGGAACAGAATGTTTATTCAGGTGAAACTTATGCTGCAAGGTGATAATTGATTTATAATGAATCATATTTTGCCTATATGCTATTAAAATAATTATCATCGACTGTCTTACGATAATTTAGAGACGCAGTGTCTTTGAAAAGTGGTAATTTATTAAAAGACAAAACACTTATTTAATTTTTATTTCGAGTCAGTGTCAAAGTTAAACGAAATATGAAAAAAGCAGAAACAGCCTCAATGTCAATATGACGACTAGTATTGGACAAATACTTATAGAACTGCGTTCAATGATCATGTTTGGAATAGTCAATGCTATGTACGACGCTGTAAAATCTCGTTTTCATGTAACGAATGCGTAGTATGATGTCCGTATTACAAAGAATAAATAAATATACATGATATGACGATATGCATTTTTTGCTTTACTCAGTTTAATGAAATATTCATCTGAAATACGAAAAAATATCGTTGTTTTATAAAAACCACGTGTAAAAGGTTAGCACTGCATGAAAATCATTACATCCGGTAAGACTAATTTTAAAACCTGCAACAAACCCGGAAAATTCCGGACTCTTGAAAACTCGAACTCTTGATCTCTCGAAGTTTTTCCTCGGTCCTGCGGACTTCGAGGTTTCGAGAGTTACCTGTACTCTAATAAAATAATTTCTATTAAAAAAAAAATAATTGAAGAGAAATTTACTATCTAGAATAATTAAATTACTATAAGAAAATAAAATAAATAATTGACTTTCGTTGAACAAATCAACTTTAGTCATCATAAAAGAGAAAGATAGCAAACGTATAACTTTAGTTACATAGTTTGCATTAAAATAAAAATGAAATAAAATAGAGTAAAAATGTAAAATAAAATAATCCTAGATAAATTAATTACTAAAGAAGACTACTCAGTCATAGACTGTTGAGTCTTTAAAACAACCAATAGCGGACAATAGTATTTTACTATTTAATGTCCTAGTCGGTTAAAGTCTATCCTAACTAAATAAATCAAAAATAAAATAAATTCCTAAATAAAATAAATAAATAAATAAAAATAAAAGATAGACAAAATAAAAGTTAAAATAAAATCCTTAAAAAAAAATCTGAGAGTTCCGTAAAACGGACCTACCAAATCAAAATAAGCAGAAGAGTGACTAAAAATTCTCAGCGTCTAACTTTTATATGACTCTATGACAGAAAATAACGGAAAATGCTGGAAAATAACGGATATTAACAGAATTATTAATTATGAAATTTCATTGGATTATCATTTAATGATCAATTATATCGAACAATCTGATTGGTCAATTGTAAAACATCACGATCTTTCACGTGAACAAGTGTCACCAAATATTCTATACAAGTATGAAATAATGAATTTTTACATATTTATCAATTAAATAAAAATATATTTCACAATAAATAATTAAAACAAAACAAATTAAACGTAAAACAATATTCAGTCTATCTAAAAATACAGTCATTTATAAGATACCGCCATTCAAACTCGATATATTTATCGGTTATATTACAAATGCAAGGATAAATTTATCAATTACTTTAACAAGTTTCTAAACCGGAAGTACATCGTAATGAAGAGCGAAACTGTCAAACAACGTGACAACAGAAATTTAGACTATTTCACAGGTATTATATCAACTAAATAACACTAAACAAACAACAATTACTTACTATTTGACACAGTTATAGTCTTAGGATGTATACTTAAGTGCTGATTTACAAATGACATACTTTATTAATCTTTTACCAAACTCTAACTCAGTTCGAATTATCTCAGTCATGTTTATGTTATCAAAATATATCAATCTACCCTTGTTTCACAAGTATATACATTTACAATTAAGTGACTTAGGTACAACTCTGCGAATAGAACATTCATATAAAACAAAATAAAACTGTGAATAAACAAACTTCATCAACCCGCTCCAAATCACCACAATGCATGATAACATATTACAGTCATTGACCCTATTTGATAGAAAAATCAACCTGCTCCAAGCTCACACATATATAGCAAAATATTACAGTCATTGACTCAGAATGATTATACACTGTTGTGGATAAAATAAAAAGTTACACCATGTAACCTAACATTACTATTATTACATCATTTAAAAAAGGGGGGGGGGGGATCACATGCACTACATCCAAGTTAATTAGATAGCTATCATGTGACCATGATACGTCATAGGCAACAATGGCTGGTCAGCTGTATACGTTAATCCTACTAAAATATATGCGTAACAAATTAGCTTACCTGGATTATAGACGACCAAATCACTGATTTTGTATGAAGTTAAATATTCAAGCTTTTAAGTTTGAACTGTCAGCAAGAAATACTCCGAAAAATCTGTAAACATAGTAATTTAACCTCTTAACAGTGATGATAGCGAGGGAGACGAGGCAGAGATGAAGAAACTAGCCTGCACAGTATAATTATAAATTTGTCATCTTATCACCATGTATTAAAGTTATACATGCTTTAACTGGTGTCAGTTAAGAGTAAAGTTGGAAATTATTTATTCTGTTTACCAATTAAAGTTTGGAAAATACTGTAAATTACACAATTGAAAATGAACAGGTTATATAAAGATATCAAATTATAATTATTTATTTTCCTGCCAGGAAAGTAATGCCTCTTTTTAAATTAATGCTTCGCTACTTTTAGACTGATAAACAAAAATGGCGTCAAGAAAACGAGGTAGGCCGTTTGGTATACAAATAAATTTTGACATGAATAGCATACGTCTAACACTTTAAGATATTTATCTTTTAAAGCAACCAGTATTAATTAACCATCTACTCTGTTATGACAGATATTAACCTTTTATTCATAATCGTTGTCAAAATGCAACGTGATTTCCTACAGACATGCGTGTCTATATACTGTTAGCGCACTTCCTTCATCAATATTCATGAAAAGACTGAATTTTTAAGTGCAGATCTTGCAAATTGTTTTGTACTTACAGCGACTTATTTAGTAAAACTTTGTGGAAAGTATTATATTTTCATTACACACCATGTTTCTCAAACCATTTAATTTTGTTTCCTATAAAAAAAAATCAGCATTTATATAGTGTGTATTTCTTTAACCAACATTATTTACAAAATTAAAATTACAGAACTTTGTAAATTCATTTTATTTAATAATCTTAAATCATAATGTAAATAAGCAACTGAATCATCATTGAAATCAGAAGGGGACCGGGATGATTGATGATTATACCTGTAGTTTGAAAAGGTGACCGGATCTTTAGTAATTACCCTTTCTTCTATAATCATATACTGTTATTAAAATTAAAAAGCTCTGCTATAAATCAGCAAGTTTCTTTGTGATTTAAAATTTCTATTTTATTTTCTTACATACGTCATTACACCATGTATACCCACCATAGTCCATTCCTTAGCTCTTCTGAGCCAAAGGCTCAAAGAGCTAATGCTATGGCCATTTGTGAGGTGTGCATAAACTTTTTAGAATATGGGCTATATCTCAAGAACCCATAAGCCAGTTTTTGTCAAATTTGTCATGGGGTATCCTTGGCCCAAGGGCTCTTGTTATACTAAAACTAGGGATGTGACCCTTAAACAAGGGGAGATAATTAGGAAAGTAAAAACAAAAGTACTGGTTGCTAAAAAAAATCTTCTCAAGAACCACTGAGCAGATTATCACAAAACATACAAACAAGGGTAGGATA